TGAAGCTTTCATGTATATGTATGATTATGCGACCTTGGCGCTTTGCATATTTTGCTATGATGATATGTAATTGGCCTTGCTTCTTAAAAGGTATCATGGACATAATGTATGGTGTATTGCTATCCTATGCGTGGCCTGGATTTTAGTGTACCTGTAGTCTCCGAAACCGTCCATTATAGACTTTATAGGGTTTATCTATGTCTGATGTAGCTGCAATACATACATCTTGCCAGATGTTAGTCTATTTTTCTTCAGTTTTTTGGTTGATCATACCTGCTACTCCCTGAGGATCCGAAGAGGCATCACAGTAGCTTGTACGTGGGGGGTTCATGAGTCATGGGTTTAGGTTCACTTAATTTGTCAATATGAACATATACATGAGATCTATGCCAAGGTACAAGTGATTATTGCTTCTGGGATGTAAATAGCTTTGGGTAGTTTTTGTCTTCTTACGACTCTATCACTCTATGTTACTGCCAGGAATGCCTGACTCTTTAATTAATCTCATTTGACAAAAAAAAGGACATTTGTGGTCTGGATGGAAGCTGTAATAATCTAAAGCTAAGTATGGTGCTGACCTGGGTAACATAACTGTGAATTGAAGGGAGGTCTAGCTCTTTCCTCATGACAAGAACTTTAGCAGTCATTGAATTGCCAAGATTTTCTCATGGCTTTGTTCTGTATGACTTCAAGAAGTTTGATAACAAATTTTGACCACATACTATGAATCTATCACTGACCTAACAAGGCAAACCTGCAACCATCATATATCACTGACCTAACAAGGCAACTGTACATCAACATTAGGACTCTTTAATTAAAGAGATATTCCCTTATCAGTTTCTTATGTACTGCACAGGTCTTATAATGCTTCAAGCATTATAAGGTGGGTGATGGGAGAATTGCAGGACATGAGGGGGGGGATCATTATAACCCAAAGATACCTATATAGCCTTTGCAATAACTTAGAACATGTAACCTAAGGAATGTATATATGGTATCTGAAAATATATGTGTTAGGGTTGATTATGAGTCCAAAGGAAGCAGAACCTCCAAAGACCATAATCCTCCCAATCAGGCCTGAATGAGACTGTCATCAGCATAGGCTGTGATGCTGCATAGGTCTCCTGACCCACTGTTGAGCAAAGAGATTGTACAAATATATCAAACAGTGAAGGGGACAATAGTTTACCTTGTGGAGTGCCACGTAGGTACCTTGATAATCCCTTATCCATAACAGAAGCTTGCCTTTAATGCCTAAGAGCTCAGTAGAGAAGGATCTGTAGAGTAGTCCATTGAAATCTATGAAGACTTCATTGCTTGCAGTTTGGTATTGTGCTAAACACATTTGTATTTCTTTTCCTATTTGGAAACCAAAGACTGATGGTTGAATTTGATTTCTGACCTAATGGAGCAGACGAAAAGAGGAGAGGAAAGGAGTAGAGGAAAGAAAGAGAGAGAGGGAGAGAAGAAGACAGGAGATTAGGAACACAAAAAAAGAGATGCTACACAAATAAACTGGCATCAGATATTTTCTCTGGTAAAATTAATAAGGAGTTCAAGTATGCTATCATGACCTAGGTGATGAAAAGCATATTTAACAAGTGTCAAAAGGATAGTTTTCCATAAACTAGATATCTGTGTGGCATAAGATAATGGGATAGTCAGTTCAATTACACTGAACTTTCTGCTGTGAGGCATTGATATATCTTAGGATTGGTATTGGTTGTACAGAATTGGCTGCATGAAGCTACAAATAAACTAATAGCAATATAGAATATTTAAAACAAAACTGCAGGAAGTAAATGTAAGCCTAAATTCAGTGTCCTTGAATCTATCTGTTGTGACTCAGCCCAGAGATGCTATAGCAAAGGCATATAAACATCTACCATGTTTATTCTAGTAAGATAAATCTTGTTGCCCTCCGTTGTGATTTATTATCAGATAACACTTCAAGCTTCATGTTACTTAAAATATGTTGGGGACGCTTGTTGGACTTTACCATGGCACAAAGCATGGAGTTAGTAGTGTTGCACCATGCAGTCCTTTTCAGAACAATTAGACTACTAGTTTTCATTAGAAGTATACAAACATTTGATTATAATGACAATTTTCCGTGATTTACCATGATTTTCCATTAGTCACCTAATTCATAATGTAAGTTCTGGGATTCTAAAATCAAAGGCACTAGGATAGATTAATTTAATTTTTGGCCATGATTTTTTTATTTATTATTATTTTTTAATTATTATTTTTTTATGTGCTTATTGCAACTGCACAATTTTATACCACATTGTATATACATGTGCATGTATGCAAACACACACTCACTCCTACCCCCCACTGGAATATCAAATGGACCAATTACAGACATGATATCATAGTATCATATGCATATTATAAACAAATATCATAAAAGCTCTGTGGATATTCTTGGAAACATCATAGTATCATATGCATATTATAAACAAATATAATGGATAAGATAAGATACAAGTAATAAAATTTCCTTTTTAATAAACAAAGCCTAAGCTCTTTTGCCAATCATACATACACAAGATTTACACGTACTGATATTAACTTTTCTCCACCTTCATTTTTTTGCAAGCAGGTTCATTTTCATCTACAGCACTTCCTAGAAGTATTTCTTTGCTTAAGCTGAAACTCACTCTCATCATTGCTTTGTTTGGTGCAACTTGTCGTACATGAAACACTTCCTTTATGTTTTGTTGAAAGCTATCAAAGTTATTCCCAAAGCTTTTTGGCAATTCTTCTTGGTTATCCTCTGATGCTGGTTTTCTCTGATCAGCTTGAAGACCAAATTGTTCTGCTACCTTTGCAATTGCAGTACTGTCCTCTGTATCAGGTGTAAACATGTATACATGAACAAGTGGCAATTTTACTTCTGAAGGTAGGTCCTCTACATCCTGAAAGAGCCCAATAAAGGAAGGAAGAAATTCAACAGCAAGTGCTGGGAGATTCATGGTAATATGTATGGTTCCACAAAACTGTGGATCGCTCCACCTCTTCAACAAGTCTTCTTTTACTACAGTTTTAATAAATTCATTTCCATCTAGATTAAAGCATTTAACCCTGTCAGTTACCTTATTGCTTGCACAGTTTTTCTCTAAATATCTATAAGAATGTGGGTTAAGGTCATTTGCTAACACAGAGCACTTTTTTCTCCCCACTGGAATAGCAAATGGGCCAATTCCAGCCATGACATCATAAAGGACATCTCCAAAATTCAATCTTTTAACGATGCGTTCATGCTCTGTGGATAATCTTGGATTCCAATAAACTTTAGCAAAATCCAAAGTAAATGAACATCCATTTTCCTTTACTGTGACTTCTGTTTCACCACTGCCTGCTAAGACTTCCATTTGGAAATTTCTGTATGTTGAATCAATATTGTTTGTCTTGTTAACAACCAAAGAAATATTTTGAATCTTCTCAAGCAACACTTCGCCAATCAGAGTCTTGTATGGGAGCACATAATCTCGTAAGTTGAGGTGAAGGATGTGACCTATTATGGAGTAGCTCTGTCCAGCTTCTTGGTTTTCTGGCAGTACTGCACGCAAAATGTCTTCGGCTTTCCAGTTATCATAATTCAAGACAATTTCCTGCATCTCAACTCTTGCTTCACCAGCTGTGAAAGAGTTCAGAATTTCATTGGTATCCGTTGCAAGAAGAGGGTTGAGGAGAATCCTTTTCATCTCTGGATGGCCCTCTATGTTTTGCACTGGCTTCAGGTTATTAAGTTTTAATAAATATTTTTTGACTTTCTTCAATACATGTCTAATATGTTCAGGATCCAGAATGATTACTGGAACAGTTAACGTCTTTTGGAATGCTTCTCGATTCAATTCTTTCATCCCCCTCACACTGGGAGGAGGAAGAAGGAGCTGTACATCCATCTGGGTGCGTAATCTGTTTAACGGTACACTATATTTTAAATATTTTCCCAAGTTAGTACTGTCAGCAAAATTTGAAAAACAAACTTGTGGGTGTATACTAAATTGATTTGTTTGATAAAAAGACCAGTCACTGTTTTCCAAGGATAGTTTTGTTGTCCCAGGGTGTCTGTTCACTATTATTCTCCTTCCACTAATACAGCAAGTCTTCAAATATGTTCGGAGCTGGTTACCCAACCTGAAATAAAAGCAGAAAATTTAGTATATTTCACAGTTGAGTAAATATTATGATAGATCTTTCTCAATTCTAAATTCAGATATTATGTATGTGTGTGTGTGTGTGTGTGTGTGTGTGTGTGTGTGTGTGTGTGTGTGTGTGTGTGTGTGTGTGTGTGTGTGTGTGTGTGTGTGTGTGTGTGGTGTGTGTGTGTATGTGTGACAGAATTTCTTTTATAATAGGGTCCGATAAGAACTAAACACTATTCTCTATTCTCTCTCTCCTCTCTCGTCTCTCTCCTCTCTCATCTCTCTCTTGTCTCTTTCATCTCTCTCTCTCTCTCTCTCTTGTCTCTCCTCTCTCATTCGTTCTCCTCTCTCCCTCTCTCTCTCGTCTCTCCTCTCTCTCTCTCTTGCTCTCTCTCCTCTCTCTCTCTCGCTCGTCTCTCCTCTCTCTCTCTCTCGCTCGTCTCTCCTCTCTCTCTCTCTCTCTCTCTCTCGCTCGTCTCTCCTCTCTCTCTCTTGCCTCTCTGCTCTCTCTCTTGCCTCTCTGCTCTCTCGCTCTCTCTCTCTACTTCTACCATGACCTTCGCTAAAACTAAACCTAAATTCAACAAGACCTAGTAAGAATAGTGGTATTAATAATAGTGATATGGAGGAAAAGGAGAAGAAAATGAAGAAGAGAAAGAAGTAGGTATGGAGCAAGAGAAAAATAAAGAAAAGGAAGTAAAAGAAGACGACAATAAAAATGAAAAAGTAGAAGAACATTAAGATGAAAAAGAAAACATAAATAAAAGAAGAAAAAAAGAAAAAGAAAAAAGGAAGAAAAAATTATTCAAAAGAAGAAGAGTAAAAAAAGAAAAAGAAAGAAAAAGATTGGTAATAACTTTTCAGGAGACTATTTTAATCACATTATATTACATTACTCCTCTCTAAGTGAGATGGCACAAGATAAGGTTCAGCAGATACATTAACATTAATTACATTATATTTTCTTCTAATATATTAAAGGATGTGCTACTAATGACTTCTCAATGATGCTCTGGCAAAAGCCAACAACCCTCCACTACATATAATATTATAAGATAGAACTTGTCAACCTCCATGGCAAATTATGTCAAGGGAATGATGCTGAGTGGGCTTAGGTGACTGAGTATAAACCGAATGGCTAGATGTTTGAGCCTTTCCAATAGTGACGATACAAGAATCTGTGATTCCTGTCTGCCAGAAATGTATGACAACACCAAATTTGATATACTCCAAGGCAGTTCTATATGCTAATACAACAGTGAGATTAACGATTAACGGTGGAAAATATACATTAGCGTACAAAATTTCAAATGAAGCTGTTCGCCAAAGATCTTTGGAGGAAAGGGCCTCAATTCCAGACTGGTACAGTAAATGATAAGTTCTCAAGCACACAGGTCATATAAATTCAAAAGGTCCGATTCTGAACCACAACCAAATATATTTACATTCATACAATAATAGCTGAGAAAAAGACACTATTATACTTCATCAGAAGAGAGAAAGGTAACATGAGGAAAAAAAAAAGAAAAGAAAAAAAAAAAAAGGAACGAGTGTTGGACTTTGTTAAACAATCATTCTGGACAGGTAGTGTATTACCTTCTTCAATATCACCTTTGTTATCCTCTCAATTGATGACCAGACAATTAGTGGCTTATTACTATACTTCATAATTATACTAAAACCATGTAACTGACCAGCAGAGTGCTATTATTTCCAGCTGGGTTATGCTTCATCACATTACAAATCAATGTCCTGACCAATGAATGGGTCTCTTGTACCCTGAAGACTATAGCCAAGGCATCCCTTATTTATCCCTGTTCTTCCCTAACTTTAAAAACCACCACCACCAACAACAAACAACAACAACACTAGTAACTATTATTACTAGGTTTAAAACTTAACATAGTCTCAGCCAAATTCAAACTACTAATGGTACCCTGTCTTGGGTGCCTTATGGCCTCCATGCCTTCTATGCTCTAGCAAAGGCCAACATTGGACCACAGATTTTTTCTTAGTTAAGATGGCTTGCCAGGGAAGTATACAAGTTCTATTTGGCTAGAAAATATATGGTGCCTGTTAAATAGCCTTTGCTGAAGGTATCAGAATAACTAAACATGGTAATTTTGAATAAAATGTCTGTATTTTCATATCCAATATTAGCAAATAGATATAACGATATAAATACAAATCACAGATCACAATAAGTAAACACACCAATATTCTCGTCTACGTTAATATACCAATATTTTCATCTTCGTTAATATATCGTTAAACTAGTTGCATAGCGACAAAACATACACACCGGTGCATCCCCAATGTTTAAGAACTCCTAAATCAGACATGAATAAGATCCAGGTCAAAAGCGTAGATAACAATTGCCAAGTCTGCCTTTTCTTCTTTCTTTCATAGGGTTTAGAATCCTCTGCCAAGCCAAAGATTCTATACGACTACGCAACCTACGGCCAAGTGTTACGAAATGGGAAAACGCGAAGTAAACAAGAATTTGTGTTTACAAATTACCGTAGGACGAAATTTTTAGATTTGTTTGAAGTATTAATTTGTCTTTGTATTGTTTTGGCTATTTGATAACAGTCCCTAGAATGCATTTATCGATGATTTAAATAATTGCAACATCTATATGGCGTTCAACAATTATTTATCATAATAAAGTAGTCTGTGCTAAAATACTTCATTTTCTGTGATTTACGATCAAAAGAAAATGAATGTATGTTGAACTTTTAAAAACAATCAATGTAAGTATAAATGCTTTGCAAGTTTCAAGAAGTTACCAAACATTTTGGAACAACAGAAGAAAAAAAACTTTTGTAACCAGTTATACCACTATGGTTTCTAAACCATAATAATTAGATGTAAAGCACTAGCATGCCCCGACTTTTAGCATAAATTCTTCTTATCATCTTGTCTAAAATCTTGTATATAAGGTGATATATTTTTAGATGAAGCTTCACTCTTTATCTGGATCATGTTTACTTGTATATAACTGGTAATATAATCTTTCAGGGGTTTCCCGATTCTTTTTTTCATACGCCTTGATTCTAAATGTGGGCTTGTGTGTGATTTGCAATTTCAGTTCTTTGCATGTTGGTTCAATCATATAAGGATCAAAGTGATTCAGTTAATGCTGTATTTTGTGTTAAATCCAACTAGAGGTGTTTACTAGTAATTTTGGTGAACTACACAATAATCCTAATTCAGAATTTCACACTGAATTTTCGTACAAGTATGCACATCCACACTGCTTTCAGTACATTTTTGCATAAATAACATTTGCAACTAATGAATGAAATCTAAAAGATGCAAGTGAAAATGTAAACTTAGTTCATCTGTTTTTGTTTCAAAGCATGTTCAGAATAAGCCTTTGGATCTGAGTGATCTGGATGTCTCCTCATGAAAAAAATTTGCTGAGGGGCAGGAAAAGGGAACAATTTGTCGTGGAAAAAATAGGATAAAAACAGGTCATGGCAATGTCTTGCCACAAGAAATTGTTGCCGAGTAATGAGTCATGAGTCTATAAAGCATTTAGAGGGAGACTGACAATGGACCTTCAAAAAAGAATTTGTTTAACAGCTCCTGCAGGATTTCCTGCTGTCCACAAGGGTGGCATGTTAAATCCATTAGCTATACCTGTGTGAGGGCTACCTTTTCTTACCCACTGTGGCAGTGTAGAGTGTATTACAAATAAATAAATAAAATATATTAAAAAATAACACAAATATCACTTGTTGTTACTGTTATTGTACAGAGTGTAAACTACCTGGAGAGATAATATAGAATCTGCTCAACAAAGAGTATTATCTGGATACAGCATATCAAATACAGACCTTGAAAACAGAAAAGCAGTAAAGGGCCAATAGCACTGCAATGAGGAGGCATGGAGTCTTGTAACTATATATGACCTTTCACATGTGCCAGGCCTACAGGTTGCACACCTGGGAGAATCACCACTTTACGAAGCCTAATGCCGGGAATTTGGTCCATATGCCTGCCACAAAACTCTTGCATCTAATGGATGAATGTGATGAAATGTAAACTTGTGATAATATGCCTTATAAGATACAATGCAATACACCTTCATGTGATATTAATAATAATAATTAATAAAAATTTATTTTAGATATCTAAACTTTTCAAAAAAATTCAAGAAATGAGGTAAATATTGAAGTTAGGTTGACTTATTAAACTCCTTGGTGCTTGCATACCTCTGGTGACTATGTGTTTCTGATAAAACAAAACCACAATAGACAGTGCAAATATACATTACTTAAATAAAGAAATAAAATAAAATCATATTTTGGGAAGACTAACTAACAACTTACTATGAGATCCATAATATTTCCTTCAGGAAGACTGAGGAGAGATTATAGAAGTCTTATGCATTAATTTAGTTCCTCTGTTTCTTCATATTTTTTCTTCTTATTTTTTACCCTTATTAGGAGTGGGGGGAGGACACTGAAAATGAATAATTATTTGTGGGAGTGAGTGCTTCAAGCTCATAACTAGCCAACAGCTCTTTTAACTAAGTTATGATGTTTAATGTTTAATGGTTGAAACAAATAAATGTGCTAGACACCAAATGTCATATAGGACTATGATGGCAAAGAGAGTAAATGATAAGTTAAAGATTATGATAAAATGTGTTAGATGTCAAAGGTTATAGAGCATTACAGGATAATATGGCAGTGAAAAGGGTAAAGAATGGAAGCAAATGAAGTAAACAGACATTAGTAAAAGAGAAAAGGGTTAAAGGCAATGGGCACTGATGAAATGGAATGTATCTGTGGCTAGGAAAAAATGGCAAAAATGGGGAACCAAGAGGAATAGTGCACAGGGAGAAGGAGAGGATGGAGTGTGTTGGGAGAGAGTGTGAGAAAGAGGGGTAGGGGGACCTTGAGGAAGAAGGGGATGGATATCGGCAAATACTTTGAATGTAGGAGGAATAGGGATAAAGGGTAGATGTGGGTCATGTCTAGGAATTTTTGGATGTCTTCAAGAGCTTCTGGAGGGAAGTTGGGTGGGGAGGTCTGAGAAACAAATGTTCTCTTGTGAGGAGGAAAAGAGGGAGTAGATTTTTGAGGAGCAGAGGAAGAGGAGGGTGTAGGAGACGATGTGGTAGATGTAAATAAAATGGAGCATTTAGGTTGTCTGGTGTAACAAGTTAAGTAAAGAAGGAGATGCAGGCATTGGAGAAGTGGTAGACATTAGAGTATATAGATTTAGAATGGAAAAAGAATTTGACTGGGGGAGAGAGGGAGTTGAGAGAGAATGGTTCAGGGTAGAGGGAAGTGATACTGGGGAAGTTGTTGAGACATCTTGAGAAGATGGAAGGGGAGTAGAGCAAAGGACAGTTTTGGATAGGTAGAGGGAGAAAAACCTCACTGTCGTGCTTCCTGTCTGGCCTCATGTAGAGTGAGGCCTAGTTTAAATCTGAGATCTGCTACCTCAGACTTGAGCATATTGGCTGGGCAGCTCCTATAGAACACATTATGAGAGCCACCACAACTGGCACATGTGCACAACTGAGCAGAACAATTTGAACAGTCATGACCAGGTTTGGCACATAGAGGACAGTGGGTGGCCAAATGCCAACATCTGACATTGATAATGGAGTCAATATGGTTGAACAGGGCAGGGCACTATAAACTTCATAGGGAAGTCATGTCTATGGAAGCTAATCTTGGCAATATTAGTGTGGGACTTATGCTAGCCTCTGGGAGGAATAGTGTAGCACTGTACTGCCACTGCATTATAATCAACAAGGCAGATAAGTAGGTCTTTTCACAGTCTGACTAGTTCTTGTCGTAGATAAGACAATTATTCAGGCAGATGAAAACAATTCTGGTACAAGTACTTCGAGAGGAGTGAGGTTCAGCAGGAATAAGTTTGCCAGTGGTCTGTCAGCGTAGATAGTGCACAAGCTTGGGACTCACATGTAACTATAACAAGGTGTGATCAGTCATAACAACTGTGAAAGGAAATTTTGCCTACTTGTTTTTGGATGCATTGTTGGAAGAGAAGGGTGCTGTCAGAGTAAGGGTCTGTAGGGGGAATCACAAAGAATCGATCCCACTTGGCTGGGCCAAAGAGAGTACTCAAAAGGTTTGCAAAGTAGAAGTAGTAGAAGGACAAGGGTGGGAGGAAGATGGGGTGGTGTGGAGTGAGGAAGTACTGTAGAGAGGAGGACAATAAGGATGAAGTGTAGTAATGAAGGGGGAGGGGGTAGATAATGCAGTAAACTGTGCAGTATGAGATGAATTGAAGAATACTGGGAGAGGAAAGGGTATATTCTGAAGGCTGAGTAATGACCTGGGTGGGTGGTTCAGAATGAATGAGTTTTCAATAAATATGCAGTGAGGGATCATTAGTATCACTGTTCCGAGCTGTCATCAAAGAAGTGGCAAAAGGTTGGGAAACCAAAGAAATCAAATTTAGATAGGCTAGTTGATAAAGGATGATGCCCCTAATAAGGGTAAAAAAAAAATTTATCTTTACTATTGTGTTGAGGACCAAGACAGGGGCAATGCCTGGGTTTCAAGTCTCTGTCTCCTTAGCCCCCCCATTACAACAATGGGCAAGGGATTGGGGGGGATATCTTATGGTAATGAGCGTAATATAATTATTTAATATAATATAATATAATAATAATAATAATAATGATAATAATAATAATGATAATAATAATCACCATAATAATGATAATGATAATAATAGTACTACAACTATTACTAACAATAAATACTATGAATAAGAATGATCTTTGTAATAGGAATAAAATTTTCCTAAAAATTAGGGAATGAGTGAGCACTTGTAGGTTTAGTAACCTTGGTGACTAAGTACTTGTAGAGCTATAAGTGTGTACACAAAAATAATAAAACCAATCCACAGTGCATGTACTTGGTGCCAAAGGGTCAACTTCTGTATTGGGTCAACTGAAGGCAATGGCATGTGAAAAGACAATAACCAATCAAATCCAATCTCTGTTTTCTTGTGAATGTTGAGTCACTTGCACCACCTTCACTGGGGTTTTGGTACCATGCAAAGATAAACAATGATTACCCACCTTCAGTTACCCTTTCTTAGGTTACTTTACCTCCCCATACAGACACCTTTCACAAACTTTCTTTAATAATACTCAAACATACTCCATCAATCTAAAAACTGTGAGTAAGATAAGTAAAACAATTTAAAGGTGAGCATAATTTT